TCTTGAAAATCTTGAAAATCTGCTGTTGTACTCTTTTTGGGTTGTTTGCTTCTCTCTCTTAGTCTCACTGTCTTCTGCTGGTTCTGCTGGTCTGTGAAGCTCTTGGTTTCCACAAGCTTTCCAAACCGCCTGCTAACAAAATGGTGAACTGAAGTTCGGTGCTCCTTGCTATCATCGGGCAGGAAGGTGAACGCAGAACCAGGTACTTTTGCATCAATGAACCGGAAGAACTCCTCAGCTTCTCTTTCAGAGGCTAAACTAGCAAGCTCCTTGAAGTCTGGGTCCTCTCTGACCTGAATTTCTGATTGGTTGGTCACAGTCTGGAGGAAGGGGAAGTTGTATCGTACTGCTCTATGGACAACAGCTCTCAGGTGTTTATCAGGATAAGTACCCAATGACAGTTCCACCTTTTCTTGCTCACCAGCTCTTACTCTCACTTTGTTAGTGAAATGTTCCAACTCTTTGTTCACAGCTGGACCCAAGATTATATTCAGATCAAAGCAATCCTGATTTAAAATGTCAGTGTCATCTGGTTTAGATTGCTTTAATTTATCATCACTTTTGGTAGCTTGACTTGGTTGAGAAGGACTTTTTGTATGTTCTTCTTGAACATTAGAACTGTTAACAAGTTGTCCATTGATGTCTATCTCAATAACCACAAAGTCTTGGGGTGAGTTTTTTATGGTCCCATGGAAACCTTCATGGTCTGATATAAAGCAGGAGAGACTGTGCCTCTCCATTCTTAAGTCCTTAAGAAAATACACTTAGCAATTAAGTCACGCAATCATTATTTTAGCGATTTGTTCATTTGTATTGACATGTAATGTAAAAAATATAATAAAATGTAAAGAGGAATTTATCGTGTTAACATTTAAATTATTACACAAAAACAACTGAATCCCTGTTACAAAGCCGGTCCATTTAACCCTGTTACGTCATAATACAAAGCAAGGAAAATGCACATTTTGGAAAATAGTGCTTACACTCACCCGCTACTGTTGTCAGTTCACTTCCTCCGCAGCACGTGGTACCGCTCTTAAAGGCGCAGAAGCGTAAAGACGGGCAGGGCAATAATGTATTCATGTTTTGCGAGGATTCAAAAAATAGATTGAGTACTTCAACCTAAAGTGCTGATTTTATACAAAATTTATAAGGTATGTTGTCATAAAATCGTAATGAGAAACAAACACTAAAAGGCATGTAAGGGGGCTATTGAATGAGTTTGTGTGTGTGTGTGAGTGTGTATACACAGACATATAGATAGGTATATCTATATATATAGATAGATACATATATATATATACACACACATGCATATATATATATATATATACACATACATTATGATAATTACAGAACCCAAAGGCTAAAGATAACGGACGACTCCAAATTTAAAGGCATCTTCAAATCTTTTTATTTTTCTCTCTCCTCTATCTTATACAATGCATAGAAAAAGACATTTAAGACTCAATGATTCCTTTCCAGACTTCATAATACCCTTACATAGGAGACATGTTAATAGTGGTTTGCCTGTTGTGAATCAGCAGATGGATCGTCCCAGAGGTTAAGGAACTTACAGTCCCTTCCCTTATGAGTGATTTCAAAAACATCCCAAGCAAGATGCTAAGTGAACTTAACTCCATGCACTGTATACATTAGTGTGGTTGCGAATGGCATGAAATGGAGGCTGGCCATTAGTTGAGATGTAAAACATTAGTTGTGAGACAGACAGGATGGCCCTAAACCCTGAAACCATGGACACTCACTTCAATGTTAGACAATGACATCATCTGGACAAACAGCTGTACAGGCTTAGAAAAATAGTATCTCTGCAGGTTTAGTCTTCACTACAAGAACGTGAAAAATAGCTAAGATGCAGAGAAGCATCACTTTTTCAGATTTGTGCTATGACGGATTCGATTATAATCATATCTATAATTAAACAATCCTACATTTAATAAAAAACGACCAATTTTTAAGAATTAATACATATTAAAAAAGGTATCTGAACTTTTTTAGCACATTATTCTTGGCAAATTCTTCATTGAAATCATCCCTACCCTATATCTACAAGTTTCAGTGGCTGTCAGAATACTGATAATTTATTTAGTCACTCTTTAAGAAAATTTGTCAACCTAATCAATCAGAAAGTTAATACATAATGTGTATGGCCTCATAAAATAGAGCTGAACTTCTGACCTTCCTGATCAGACCACAAAAGTTAAGCCGTGGACTGTTTAACTTTCCGGGCTTGTTTTCCAAACAAAAATTATGCCTAATCTCCATGGCCAATTTCCCGGACCAATATTAACGTTACTCCGAAGCTAAAATGTAATTTTACTGGAGAGCTACCACTGAAAATGCAATTTATACCTGAAATAGATTAGATATCCGTTTATGGGAAACCAGCTTTTTCTCAAAAATATTCTTCAAAAAGGTTTTTCCTTGAAAATCAATATATATTTCTGGAAAACAAGCACTAAATGGTGTCTATTTCAACAGTATTGCACTCTATATCATAATCTTGGCTAATATGCAAGTAAACAGCGTAATAGTGTTAAAACTATTACCAGGAACATCACAGACAGCATCCTTGAATGCAAGTGAAGCTTAGTAAAATACATTCTTGTGTACCTCAGTCTGTGTTCTTCAACATATAGAAAATATTGCAATATCTGACAATTATCATATTGCAAGCTACAAAATGTAATTTCACAGGCTTAGTGTTTTACTTTGTGCATAGTTCAGTCTATAGGGCTGTGGTCTACATGAGTCAAGGTAAAAATGGGAATTCGCTTTGAGGACGGGATTCCTTAGACTAAGTGGAATGTACCACTGTCAGATTCAGAACAGGAAGAGGTTTAATCATCATCGCCGTCGTCCCCTGGTGCCCGTGTGATTCTGCGGCCCCCCCTTTTCCCGGTTGGCCCCTTGGGTTTGGCAAAAGCTTGCTTGTGTGCATGCTGCTTGGGGTGAACCTCTTCGTACAGGAAGTCACTGGATAGTTCATCACCATTGTCAATTTCCAACTGAAAGGAAGAATTAAAGTTTGAAAACTACAACATTAACGTTACTGTAAATGGTCCGATATCCTTGAAATGAGGCATGCTTCCAGGAAAACAGGACGGTGAATGCTGTACTTTATATATAATACCTAGCAAATATATAATACCTTTTTAGCAATTTCAAGGCCTAAGTTTTTCTCCACTGTGTCTATGAGAGGGTTCTTGCAGCTTGAATACAGCATTCTCTCTTTGACGCTGCATTTATAACCAGGCATAGAGTAGATGAACACTGCAAACACAAAAAAAAGCACTCTTGAAACTATTGACATATGGGATAAAACATGTCCAAGTCCAACAATATTACTTTCCATTAGCTTTTTTGTAATTTGTAAAATTTGTACATTTCAACCTTGAAAGTAATCAGAGATGATGACCGTATTTATTAGTATACATTTAATGATTTAATACCCCTAAATTGTCCTCTGACCCTCAAAACTCAATACGTGATTTAGGTTAAAAGAAAAAAAAAGTAAAAAAAAAAGAAAAATAGAAATATATAAATGGTCATTTTAAAAATAAATATTTTTGTCAACAGAGTTTAAATATATAAATACATACATATAAATATAATTCAGCAAGGGTGCACTGAATTGATCAAAAGTGACAGTAAATATAATTTTATAAAATATTTCTTTTTCAAATAAATGCTGTTCTTTTGAACTTTCTACTCATCAAACAATTCTGAAAAATATATCGTTTCCACAAAAATATGCAGCACAACTGTATACATATTAAAAAATATTTCTTGAGCAGAATGATTTCTGAAGGATCATGTGACTGAAGACTGGATTAATGGCTGCTGAAAACTCAGCTTTGCCATCACAGGAATAAGTTATTTAAATATATTAAAACAAAAAGCAGATATTTTAAATTGTAATAATATAATCACAATATCACTGTTTTTAACCTTATTTTTGATCAAATAAATGCAGCCTTGGTGAGCATAAAAGACTTGAAAAACATTATGTATACACACACATTTACATACACATACATACATAGTATATAATGTTTAATAACATATTTAAGGGTTTACATTTAAACCCAGTTCTTTGAACATTTGATATTCCTCTTACCTGTGGACTCAAGGTAGTCTCCTTCATGAGAATGTTTGTAGAGGAAAAAGTGATACCTAGCTGCATCATTTGGGATCCTTTTAGGCAAATCTTTCACCTCTGTGGGAGACGTGCTGGACAACTTGATGGATTCTTTAGGAAAATCTATTTCCTGTTAATGGGATGGACATAATTAGTGTATTTGAATTATTACTCAGGTCTACAACATGTATTTCCGTCACATGTTGGTGATTCTGTGGGCAGGGGTCAACCCAACCGGTCTGTCTTCTAACAGTAAAAATACCGTTCTGGCCATTATTCATTTTAGTTTTTTTTTTAATGCAACATAGAGGATGAACAGGATGTTACAGGATGAAAAGGAGGAATAAGATGCTATTATACAAGAGCTGCTGGGAGTGGTGGAGGGGAAAAAAGTCCTGAAGTACCAGTTGAACGTAGTTAATCCTTTTCTCCCTAAACTGCTCCAGAGCCTGAATAGCGTCTCTCTGCATAGGGAACGCCACTCCCTGAAGAGTCTGCTGCTTTGTGTCAACATGGATGTCTGTCTGCAACTGAAAACACGCATATAATCTTTTAATAATATGTATGCACTGGCCTGTATCACCAAAGCAGTCACAGTGGTTGTTAAATGATTCGTTAGGAACGAGCTCTGCAATTTATGTTGTAATTTATAAAGCAACGTTGTTACACTGTGTATCAATTCATGTTCAAATGCGAGGATAAAATTTTCCCAACCCTAAACATTTGAATGGTACACTTAAAATATAATATAATATAAAAAATGACACATTCTGTGCTGCATCCAAATAAACCTCTCTGCATCCTTTCATCCAGGATTGGGACCAGCATTTTATCCACCCATCTACTCAATAAAATCTCTCATTCAACAAATTAATAAAAATAAAACACCACAAAGCTGCTTTCCTCTCCTCTCATACATGTAGATTAGTGTAGCATTATCCTCCTCCCACAGCTGCTCTGGGGGGAGTTCAGTGAGCCTTCTGATTGGTTCATTTATGCTGCCTGTCATTTTAAACAGTCAACGATGCATTTAAGAGTCAGAGTGTATCCTTTTATGGTATGAGTGGAGGTTTGTATGCATTGCCAGCAACATCCTTTGCAATTGGTGAGAGTGCCTGGGACTGAGCTTCTCTACTTTTAGTCAGTGTATGTTTGATGCTAAATATTACATTACATTTATGTTTTCATGTTAATATACAGTAAGCATTGACATATGCATGGTGATTTGGAACATCCTTTATAGTTTTTATATGCATACTGCTCAGCAGACAACCAATCATCAACACAGTACTCTTTAGTTCACAGTGCAAAACTGGCTTCTAAAGGATCTATCATTTTGTTTTGAGATAATGTTGCACATAATGTAAATGGTCTTTTGGTTCAGCTCATGAAGTTACTGAATACAAAAGGCCTGATATGAACTGTTGGACTGATGTGGTTTTCGCCCTATTTTAATAAAACCTCAGCAGAGCCTGACTAAGGTGTACACCCATGCTGTGTTTATGTTGATGTCAGCATTACCTCAGTGAGTTTGATTTGCCTCAGTTCCTCCTCTGCTGCAGTCAAAGGCAGAGGCGCCGCCTGGGAGCTGAGGTACTTTTTGTAGCCATTTAGAGAGACATCGTCCTGAGCAGAAAGAGATGCATTAGTGGGGAAACCTATGGCTGTGATCCATTCATGTGGAGGTTTGATTTAAAGAATGGCAGATTATATATGTCAGACCTTTACTGTGCCAAAAATCTCCTCTTTAATGTGGCCACCACCAAACTCTTTCTTCAGCGTGGCCCTCGTAGCAGCATACAACATCTTTTGTCGAACCTGAAAGTTGTTTCAAAATATGTTTCTGGATCTGCATGTTTTTACAAAATATATTTTCTTTTTAGGAACAAGAACATACGTCAGATAAATTTGTTTTAGGCCAACATACTTTTAAAATCAAAAACAGACATTATCAAAAACCATGCAAACATATATATATATATATACATATGTATTCTCATATAATTATGGTACTACTACTACAATATGAATAGTTCAACCCAAAAAAAATTAAAAACATAAATCACAGAAAATGTACTCTCCCCCAAGCCACTGAAGATGAATTTATTTCTTAATTGGAACAGATTTTATTACATCACTTTCTCACCAATGGATCCTCTGCAGTGAATGGGTGCCATCAGAATGAGAGTCATAAAAACATCATAATCCACAAGTAATGCACACGGCACACGCCTCCAAATGCCTTCATGATGGATTTGTTTCTTATAATCATGCAGCTTTTCACTTCACAAGACATTAACTGATGGACTGGAGTCATGTGGATTACTGTAGTTTTTATCAGCTGTTTTGACTCTCATCGTGACGACACCCATTCACTGCAGAGGATCCATTGGTGAGCAAGTGATGTAATGATAAAACCTATTCCAATGAACTTCTATACAACCTGGATGGTTTGAGGGTGAATAAAAATTTCAGCAAATTTTAATTTTTGGGTGAACTATTCCTTTAATACTTGAATCCAACCAGGAGGAATTTCTGGATTTCAATTTTAAAGTTGTTTTGTTATTGGAAAGCGCTTGGTTTGAGCAATTTGAGCTGGCTTTAGATGGGCGTGAAAGAACGACTGATTTGGGTGCGACTGGGACTCCAGCCACTTTAGTCTCCCTCTGGTCGTTGAACATTGAGGGAGAAAATTAGAATTGCAAATTTGTAGCACAGAACCACAACTGTCCGTTTTGTATCAGGTCACCCGTGCTTTTCATAAAAAAAAAAACGTACTGTGAATGTAGATTAACATCAAACTCTTTTGCTTGAATGCACAAAGTCTCCATTATATGAGCTTACCTGATACTATATATTTTGGTAAAAGATAACATTACAGGGGATCTCCACAGTTATTTGCACTCACTTAAGATACACTCGTTTGTTATAACAATGATACAATATTCCTGATGATTGATCATATCTACATAGTACTACAAAAAATTCTTATTATAGGCTGTTTTAATATGGACAGACTTAACTGGCAACCAGATATTTTTAAAGAGCTTTAAACCAGGGATTGTATATATGGAGTGGATGGATTAAAATGCACTGAGCGATGTCATCTCATGATGTCCTTTGGCCTCGTACAAGCTGAAAGAAGACGACAGCATGCAAACAAACTCACTGGAGAGTGATCCGGAGACCAGGCCAGAAAGATCCACTCATAACCTTGGTTGTTGGTGGTATCCAACCTGTAGAGAAGGTACGAGGGCATGTCGTCCTCCACGAGAGGGAGAACATAGCTGTCCCATTCCTGGTCCCATTTCTTGGCGGCCCGTTTACTTCCACCAAGAACTAACTTCTCTACAGGAACACAATATATAAAAAAGGAAAGTGTGATATGATTCTTTATGACTTGTTTTATGTTTGATTATGACTCTGATATACTATTAGTTTTTTCAATATTTTGAATTAGTTTTTTTAATTTTTGTTTTACATTTTAGTTAAAGTAAATTTGTTTTGTCATTTTTTTTGTTTTTGTTTTAATGTCTACATAGTTTTCATTCGTTTGTATTTGTTTTAGGTTTATCATGATAACGGCTATCTCTGAAATAAGATGTTTTTGTTTATATATTTTTTATAAATATATTTTATTTTCAGTTAAAGTTTATTTTATTTCAAGTAACAATTGTATTTTTATTTTATGGTTTTAGTTAACTATAATAACCCTGATGTGAGATAACCAAAAAATAAAAAAAATAACAATAATACAGAGTGAACATATAAAAAAAATGGAAAAGTAATACATGGGTTATTCTTGACTTGTCAATGTAACATTTTGCTAAAATAATTAAATTAAGTAATTTTGTTTTTAAGGGTAGTTGGGTCTTGTAAAGAAAGTAAAATATCATAAGGTTCTAAATTTAAAGCTCTTTTAAGTTTTTCGGTCATGTCCATTTTAAAGTCAGTCAAAATGGAAAGAAAAAAAATACACGGACAACTGTGCTGTTTTCCTGAATATTACTTATTTACAGTAGGTTTATTTTAAAAAGCCGTTTAATACATTTTTGTACTCTGATGTGTAAAACGGTCATCTCACCTTTTTCAATCACTACTTTGATGAGCCGATATTCTCCATTCCGGGCCTTTGCAAAGATTTCTTTGACTTCCCCGGTAGCTGAGAAGAGAAAGCACAGGGCGAGAACAGGACACAATGAGACCATTTATTCTGATACAAAACAAAGCTGACCATCTCTGGACAACGGAACTGAAATTTGGCTGATGAACCAAAGTGAGGAATCTAAAGAGGCATTGCCAGGGACAGTTTGAAGATGGCAGTCCTTTCCTGGAGTATGTTCTTTGAAATTCTTTGCAGAAATCACAATATGACCATGCAAGGTGATCTTTAATTAAAACTTCAGCATGACTACATTGATTCATACACTTGTTGTCATGGTAACGCAACGCCACTGCAGTAAAAGCTCAATGTAAACAGATGTCTATTGCATAATGCCTAGCAACACCTTTGAATAAAGGTGACTCGGTTATTACAGTTGGACCTTTGAGACCTGCTGCCTTCCTGCATAATCCTCAACTCCAGTCTGAAAACATACTGATAGTGAAAGAAGACCAATCGGAGTTTATTTGCATGACCATATTAGTGCAACAAAAGGCAGAGTACACTTGACACAGATTCACTGTCTGGCTCTGGTTTGTTTACTGCAAGCTCGCAATAAAACTCTATAAGGTAATTCAGTCTCAGGGACGACCACAACAGGTTCTTCTGTATACAAACAAGCGCCAAATAAAGAAACGTGCATTATAGAGACGCAATAAACTCCGTCTGGCTTATTTGAATCGACAATAAAAGAGCGTAAAGGATTTTACCTTGGATGCCGGTTTGATGAGACATTCTGGTTCTCTTGAGTCGGCCGGTTGGTTGATGGTAACAGTGAAAGAACACGGAAGTCAGAGAATGAACTACAGTAATTTGAGATGCCTGTCATGTGACGCCATTGCGTGGCCCCGCCCACTGCGCCGTGGTGTGCGTTTTGTTTTGTTTTTTAGACAAAGACTACAAATAAATGTAAAAATAAAATTTGAGGACGTCCTAAAAGAAAATATTCTAATGTAGTAATATATTGTATTTATTTAATTTGTGGTATTTTACTGTGAGTGTTTTGGGTAACTATCTCTAGAAAAGTTAAGAGTTTTATTAATAATGTTTTTAATTTACGTTATATAATGGACAATTTTTTAAAATAAAATACTGAAATAATCTGTGCTAGGGGGTCCATGGAAAAGTTTAGAAAAAAACTGTGTAAAAAATAAAATCAAATAAATACATAATCAATCAATCTTACAGTACAATACTATAGTGAATAGAAAAACTATGTAATAAAGTAGCTTAATAGAAGTTACATATATTTTAGACGTGTAATATACATTTTTCACAATATAAACAGGGTCTTTATACCATAATACCTTTCAGCATGGGGGTCTCTCGCACAAGGATGGTCATATTTGGGTAACTATCTCTAGAAAAGTTAAGAGTTTTATTAATAATGTTTTTAATTTACGTTATATAATGGACAATTTTTTAAAATAAAATACTGAAATAATCTGTGCTAGGGGGTCCATGGAAAAGTTTAGAAAAAAACTGTAAAAAATAAAATAAAATAAATACATAATCAATCAATCTTACAGTACAATACTATAATGAATAGAAAAACTATGTAATAAAGTAGCTTAATAGAAGTTACATATATTTTAGATGTGTAATATAAATTTTTCACAATATAAACAGGGTCTTTATACCATAATACCTTTCAGCATGGGGGTCTCTCGCACAAGGATGGTCATATTTGGGGGACTGTGGCATCTAAAAGATTGAAAACCCCTGCGCTATACAGTTCATGCTGAGAGAAGCAGGGCACTTGGCATTTGGGTGTGTGCACTTGTGACAGATCTTAGAAGCAGTGGAATCAAATGCAGGTCATATTTGGGGGACTGTGGCATCTAAAAGATTGAAAACCCCTGCGCTATACAGTTCATGCTGAGAGAAGCAGGGCACTTGGCATATGGCTGTGTGCACTTGGGACAGATCTTAGAAGCAGTGGAATTTCTCAAATGCAGGGTGGGGTTGCGAACATCCCACAGAAATACCATATAATATACTTCCAGGCTATAGAGTTGATTCAGTTGCTGTGTCTGCGTGTGTGCTAAATGAACCACAGACTCAGCAGGGAGGAGTGGCACTAGAGCGATGGCAAGGCAATTCATGGTAAAAGCAGACTAAGCCTTCCTTGTGAATTAGAGGTTACTGGGCCACACACCCCACTGCCAAAGGCCTTAATCAAGATCCTCTGTAATAGTTCTGTGTGTAATAACATATTCTATTTAAATAATACATTTCTATTGTTACTCAAACTGGACTGCTAGTTAATTACTAAAAGTCATTCGTTACTTACTAACTTACCATATCCACCTTAATTTGCAATGCAAAAATAAGTTATTTTCTTTGAATATGCAAGACCTGAATTTGTGATTCTTTAAATAACTACAAGAATAACAATATGCAGTAAATGGTAAAACTATTTGAGTCATAATATTGTCAGAATATCTGATTCATGCAACAGTCATTGTGATTTGTGCAGCTCCTGTTTATCTGGTTATGTAAAGCAAACAAAGGACAACAGCTCACAGCTGTGAAATGCAGAGTGCCTGGATTTTCATGACTACTCCCATTCAACACGTCCTTGAGGATCATTTACAATCAGAGCAACTAGGACACTATACAATATGACTAATACAGTTAGAAGCTCAGTAATTCAAATGGACATGAACCATAAGATATTTCTGGAATACGCAGTATAAAGTGTACAATTTTTTTTCAGTGCATGCAATAAAGACCTACTACATTTGCCAAAAAGTGGAGTATAGGCCTACAAAAGAGCACACTTCAAAAAATATTTTATTCAATAACGCAATGTTCGAATTTAACTTTTCCAACTCCAGTTGTGATTAATGAACAAGTAACATCAGTCACAATTTTTAACATCTCTTTCTGACTCATTATTTACCAAAAGTTAAGAAATGTAAATAAAATTGAACTGAAAATGCATGTTTAGTTTAATTTCCGAAATTATAACAGGATGCTATTCAAATGCAATGTGATGAGGTTATGTGTAGCATGCAACTTTTTGAAACATTAATGTCTACTGTTTCCTTTTTTTAAATATACACTCACTAGGGCGGTACCTTTTCAAAAGGTACACCTTTGTACCTTATTAACCCCTAAAGGTGCATATTGGTAAGGTAGGCTAACCTAAAGTTTAGGCCTACATACCTAAATGATAGCCTACACACCTTTTGAAGCTTTTGTGTATTTTGCACAGTATTCAATATTCATTCCGCTGAATGCACTGTACTTCTATCCTTCACAGCCTCGTTTACATTCCTGTCACAAAAAAATATGGCTCTACCCTGACTAAGGTCTATAAGCATAGGTCTTAAACCCTGCTCCTGGGGACCCACTATCCTGCAGAGTTCAGCTCCAACCATAATCAAACACACCTGAATCAACTAATCAAGATCTCCAGGATCACTTGAAAAGTCACAGGCCAGGTGTGCTGCAGGTTGGAAACAGTGGGTCCCCAGGAGCAGGGTTGAAGACTTATGGTCTATAACGTTAATGCTGTCTTAACCACTAGGTGGCGCCCTTATCCTATCTATTTTGGGACACATTTATTTTTTATTTCTTAAACAAACTTGGACTAAATATGACATGTAAATCCAGGAAAGCAGTTGCAGGTTAGTGTTCGCTTTCTCCAGATGCTGTCATTTTAGAAACTTAACAGAGGGAGTGAATCTTCTGAAACACAGCAGTGGCACAAAGCAAACACAATATGAATTTAAATGCACAGGACAAAGTTAAAAAGGTGTCATGGGACACATACTCAGTCAGGAAGGTTCTCATGCAAGTACACATATAAAAAATCTCAAGTTCATTCCGCTGAATGCACTGTACTTCTATCCTTCACAGCCTCGTTTACATTCCTGTCACAAAAAAATATGGCTCTACCCTGACTAAGGTCTATAAGCATAGGTCTTAAACCCTGCTCCTGGGGACCCACTATCCTGCAGAGTTCAGCTCCAACCATAATCAAACACACCTGAATCAACTAATCAAGATCTCCAGGATCACTTGAAAAGTCACAGGCCAGGTGTGCTGCAGGTTGGAAACAGTGGGTCCCCAGGAGCAGGGTTGAAGACTTATGGTCTATAACGTTAATGCTGTCTTAACCACTAGGTGGCGCCCTTATCCTATCTATTTTGGGACACATTTATTTTTTATTTCTTAAACAAGCTTGGACTAAATATGACATGTAAATCCAGGAAAGCAGTTGCAGATTAGTGTTCGCTTTCTCCAGATGCTGTCATTTTAGAAACTTAACAGAGGGAGTGAATCTTCTGAAACACAGCAGTGGCACAAAGCAAACACAATATGAATTTAAATGCAAAGGACAAAGTTAAAAAGGTGTCATGGGACACATACTCAGTCAGGAAGGTTCCCATGCAAGTACACATATAAAAAATCTCAAGTACACACAACAGGCCCAATATTGTCTTGCCTTCCTGTAATGGGAAAATAAATAGACTCATCCAAAGCTGCCATCAGGTGTTTGTCCAGAACTGAAAGGCCATATCAAGATACACATAGAGGCCATAACTCAAGCTGTCTCATTTGTTTGAGTGTGTACGTGTGTGTGGTGACGACGACACAGACTGAGAATGAAAATGAAAATGTGTAGGCTTGGCTTTTGTTGGTGTGCGTAGGAGGCGATAAGGAAAAATAGAAAACAGAACAGATACAGCCTGAAAAGATATTTCTGCTCATGACTATGATATTAGTGTACAAAATTACACATATGCTTATAAAAGCACCTACTGTAATGATGCATACTGTATGCCCACTCTTAGTCTAATATGAGCTATAATGGATCCAACTGTTAGCTCCTTTTCAAATGTCATTACTGAAAAACATCACCGCAGGTAAATCCCACCATTCATCCTCTTAACCAAACAAAAACCAAATTACACCCCAAAGAAGATGTTATACCTGTGTTTGAAAGATCTGCAGGAAAATTCACATGCATTAGTCATAAAATGGATGAATGCTTTCTCAATCGCTGCTGAGAGCGCTCTTGCCTTCATCCGTCAGCGGGCTCCGGGTTTAGTGGCTTTGGCACAGCTCGGCTGCTTTATAGCTCATATCCAGATGGACATCACCAACTTTTGGTGCTTAGAATTTCATGACCTTCAGTGGCAGAGTAGGAGATTTATGGTCGCTGCATGACATCCAGTGCTACATTTATGAAGGAGGTTCATGGAAAGCCACTTGAATTTATAATCAGCGTGAATTAAACAAACTTGGACTAAATATGACATGTAAATCCAGGAAAGCAGTTGCAGGTTAGTGTTCGCTTTCTCCAGATGCTGTCATTTTAGAAACTTAACAGAGGGAGTGAATCTTCTGAAACACAGCAGTGGCACAAAGCAAACACAATATGAATTTAAATGCACAGGACAAAGTTAAAAAGGTGTCATGGGACACATACTCAGTCAGGAAGGTTCCCATGCAAGTACACATATAAAAAATCTCAAGTACACACAACAGGCCCAATATTGTCTTGCCTTCCTGTAATGGGAAAATAAATAGACTCATCCAAAGCTGCCATCAGGTGTTTGTCCAGAACTGAAAGGCCATATCAAGATACACATAGAGGCCATAACTCAAGCTGTCTCATTTGTTTGAGTGTGTACGTGTGTGTGGTGACGACGACACAGACTGAGAATGAAAATGTGTAGGCTTGGCTTTTGTTGGTGTGCGTAGGAGGCGATAAGGAAAAATAGAAAACAGAATAGATACAGCCTGAAAAGATATTTCTGCTCATGACTAT